ACAGAGAAAACAAAACTGCACCAAGGAGAGCGGGGGGACACACAGACCCACAGAGGGCTGCTGGGTGCCGCAGGCGTGGGCAGAAGGCAGGGCTGGGGCACCAGCACCTTTGAACGGCCAGAAGAATCCAGCTGCGGCCCGGGTGAAGGCAGCAGAACCCTCTCACCTGCCCCCTTGCTACGCACCTCGCCGGCCGACGTCCCTCCGTCGCTGCGCAGGTGCCTGCGGCCGCATGCTGAGGTGACAGTCCTGCCTCGGCCCCTCTTCGCCAACGGGAACATTAAGATTCGTAGCTCGCCTACTGCTTTTGTGGAAACCATATCAAATTATTTCAAACAGCGGAAATTAAAGTCAGCATACTTAAACTGTTTAATGAGTTATTAGTAAAATCCATTCTCTTTTTTTTTTTTTTTTTTGACCTAAGCGTACAGCGGCAGCATTTAACATTGGCATTTGAGTAGAAACTGGAAATGCTGCCAGCACTCCAACTGGTGACACCACCAGCCCTTAGTGAGACCAAATTTTGTCTAAAACTGTGATTTAATCTTTTAAAATAAATTTCAAAGCTTCTATGGAGCTGGCAGCATTTATATGGTTGCACAATGAACAGTTATCCAAAATTTGAAATACTCTTTAGATTTCATCTTTTGAGTTCATCTTTGAGTTCAATCTTTCATTTCCAGTCTTTCCACAAAACCTGAATTTGAATTCCTCAAACTAAAAGTTGAAACACATAATTCAAAACTTTTCTTGTAACCAAAATTTTGATCACTGCAAATATTCTGCCAGACTAGCAATTTTTCTCCAGTCAGAGCCTTCACAAAGCTAAAGGCAGAACACAACACTTCTCATACAGCGTTTTCAAAAACCTTTGTAAATTAATTACTTGATGTAAACTTTTAGGACTACACTAAACTTTTTAATAATATAACTTCAGATGCACCCAACACTTTTTATAGAATATCTTTTCTATCATTATATAATAAAACAGAACGAAAGTCATCAATTTGCACTACAGAACTTCGGTTGCTGTGGAAACCTTCATTATTTATTTTTTTAACATGTGCAAGTTATGTTTCGACACTGAACACGGACAGCTTTGTGTTTGTTTTTTTGTTTTGTTTTTGGGCTGCTGGTTTTTCCTTTCCTGTGTACAGTGCAAACAGAAAGTGGCCAATAAGTAAGCATGTTTGTACATTATTGATTTAGAAAAAACCAACTTATTCAATCACACCTTAATTCACATTCGCATTTAGGCATATATATTTACAATAGCTTCATTACTTTCCTTCCTGAAGCACTCCCACAGCATGCAGAAATAGCTTTCTGAAGGGACAAAACCTGACAAAGTCATTGAGTTGCATCTGTTGGAGATAGGCTGCTGCTGGGTTTCAGAATTCGTTTTTTTTTTTTTAATATATGTATATTTTAATAACAAATACCTCTTAATCTCTTACTAGTCCTGCAGGAGCAGAAAACCTCTGCAGTGACAGGAACTGGTTAATTCTTCCAGCTCTCCGCCTCTTCATTCTACAGCCTCAGCACTTGATGGATTCTTCTGGCTGACCAGTAGTGAAATAGATACTTCTGCTGCTTAAGAAAAAACACAGCAGAATTTTCTTCAAAATACAGCCATGTCCGAGTTGACTCTTCCCATTAAAGTAAATATGGAATGAAGGTGAACTTGGGAGTTCACCAAGGTGAGAACCTTGCAAGGCTAGATAAACTCTGAGGAGGACACCAAAACAGTTGACAGAATGGGACCTGCAAGGAACTAATGGTATACAAGAAACATTTTGTTTAAAGGGAACTATGCCATTTGTATTTCCTGATCATGGGCATATAAATGACAGCATTAATAGGTACAGTTATATTGATTATAGATTACTGTTACTTGAAATATAGTACATATTATTATACGTTTATTGCCAACACTTTTCTGCACCGCTGCTGGTGATACCGATTTTTGAACAGACAGAGTCAGTAGAGGGGCATACGACCCACTTCAGAAAAAAAAAAAAAATCAGTGTAGTTTACTGTAGAGTCAGTGGAATGCAAGTTTGCATAACTTAAAGTTACCAAATATATTTACACCTGTTCCTCTGATACATGCATTCACCAGCTTAATGAGTCTCCTATCACCTCTACATAAATACTGATTGCTTTAGTAAATATTTTCAGCTAAAGCGTAGCACAGAACAAACATCTCATCCTGTTGAGGAGGCAGAGGCACTAATCTCCAGGCAGCAAGTAGGTATTCAGGATCACCCATGTGCAAGAGGCAGACCAAAGCAAAGGGCAACTATTACACAGGGCTACAAACCAACGATTTCTTCTGTCCTTCTGCTCTTAACAAAGCTTACTCCTGCCAAACTTCTACTCAAATCCATGCCGTTCTGTAAAGCATGGGAAAAGCATAGCAGTATTGTGCAAGCACAAACAAGAAATTCCAAGGGTTATATGCCCCAGTTGTTCTGTTTGTTTGTTTATTTGTTTTTCTGGAGCACTTTTCATTTTTCCTTATCATAAAGATTGTACATTTAAAAACCACCACCGCAAAATTGGAGTCCAATGCCCACTTACTTTTATTATTTAAATGGTTTTAAGGTTTTGTTAAAAAGTTTTTTAAAATTAACTTCAGCAATCAAACTACATTTTAAAATTTGCTGTAAATGTCAGAGCTCCTACAAGAAGAACTTCTGTTGGTGGACATCATGGGACTCAAACACTAATGCTTGTCAGAGAAAAGCGGCCTCCCCTTGCAGAAGTCTTCTGAGCTGCTTTTCTGACAGCATTTGGAAATAATGGTGAATACACACTTCAAGACCTTATTTAATTGAACAAGACAAGTCAGGAGGAAAGCACTCATCACTTTGAATAACACTGTTAAAGGTTACTTAATGTCCACTGTGTACAGGAGCTGTTATGTCAGAAGCACTGCGAGTTGCTTACGGTTACTGCAAACGCAATAGTCCTTATCCAAACAGAACATGCATTAATGTTCAACACAGTGTTAATTAAAATATATTAGACAGTTCATCTTATCTCATGCTATCTTGCCATAATATAGATGTGATCTGAAAGACAGCTGGCTAGGGAACGGAGAGATTTGACACAGTTTCTTTCTCTTAAATAGATCAAGGGAACTGCACAATCCTTTCACATGCTCTGCAAGGGACAATGGAAGGTCGGAGTGCAGAAAGCAAAGAGACTCTTACATTGCCCTGCAAGCAAATTTTTCTCAGTTCTCCCAGCCTTAAGGTATCATGGAACATACAACCCTCTTGCCCTCTCTTTCAGGTAAGAGCATCCCCATACTTTACCCTTTCTCCCCACTCTCAGGGCTATAGATGCTGGTACTTCTACTTCCATTGTTACTTCAAACCCCTGTCTTAGAAACATGGCCCAGAACCCCTGCTATCAGAAAAAAAAAAAAAAATCAGGGATTAATTTTAACTCCCTCTGACAGTAAATTTATTTGATTAAGTTACCTCCTTTTCTCCACGATGTTCCAACTTTGTATGTTTTTTTCCTCAAAGTTCATATTCTCTCCCTGTTGATGAGATGGTTAAAGCAGTTAAACAACTTGACTTTCCCATTAAATTATAAATTCCTCACCTTACAGTGAGAAACAAAAGGATCCAAAGCAAATACACTCTATCACCATCTCTGACGACCTGGCGTGTCCTTTTGAAGCACCAAGTGTTTCTCCTTTGTGCCTCAAAATAAGGATTCACACATGTCCAGAGCTGAGCTATTCTTCCTTTGTAGTAGTACTTCCTTTTTGAAGTAATCTTCTGAAACTTTTAAGCATGTAGTCTCATCTTTTCATGTACAGATCCAAATTATATTCTCTGTCTTACTGCACAAGGCTATCTCATGGATTTTTTTCCCCCGCACAAGAAAAGGACCAAACCATCACACTAGGAATCTAAATGCAGCAAATGACAGCAGTTTTCCCCTTTAAGGCACTACAGTGTTTGTGCCCCACAACTTAGTTCACCCAATTATTCTTCATCAGGATGGTTTCCAATTAGTGCTGAGGACTGGGGGAGAATTTTAAAGGCCATTATCTGAAGACTCCTTTTCTTAACTTTTGATTCAGAGTGAGCTCCTTATAAGCAAGTCCACTCCCAACACTCATCATTTCTGAGAGTGGCAGGAAAGGAGGCAGCCCCCTGCACCCCAGGCAGCACTTCCAGCTGCAGTTATGTAGTCACTCCATCGTCTGTTCCTTACTGAGTGCCTGGGAGCTCATGACTGAAAGCAACCAACACACATCTAACTTCATCACGTGAGATGTAGCAAACGTAACTTTCTAGTAATCCTAGGAACACCTCGATTACAATAGTTCTGTTGTTCCATTTCTTCAGTACCAAAATTTTTCTTTCATGCAAAGTGGAATTCAGCATAAAATATTGCAGTACATCCGCCTAATTTCGGTGTTATCCTCTTCAGAGCAAAGGTCATCTAAAATCATCAAGGGCAGAGAAAGAGGTACTTTCAAATGCCTCCAGAACATTAGACATTAAGTCTCACCTAAAAAAAAAAAAGTCAACTAAGAACAAATAAAACAACTTTCATTTACAAATATAATGTTAAAAGTTACTTTTACTCTATTTGTAATATTGCTTGAAAACAAATTATAAAAACATAAAAGACCAGAACTCGCTCAAGGACAAGTATGGATCAATGTTGTTACGCCAACAGATTACCATTTGCAAGTTTACATGTTGCTTGCCTAGCAGGTATCTGGTCAGGACAATAATTTTTGATATCTTTTTTTTAGCACCAAAGGAGAGAATGGACTGACTAATGCTATAATACCAATACATCAAGTACAATTGCCAGAAATTTACAGTGCAGGTGGTAGTTATTTAGTCAGCTGGACCTTTATTTAAAACAGATCACACACTATGCTGAACAAATGTTCTCCTGACACTAAAGAAACAGAGTATTTTGTTCTTCAATTAATAAAATAGGAAAAGATTCATTTGTATCTTCCTGCTTCATAAATAATTCAGAAATTTGAGAAAAATACTACTGCAGCCTCATTCTCACATATCCCTAATGTTCTCAGTACAGCAAATTACCTATTAGAAGAGTAAGAAATCATAGAACGCTAATTAGCACTGTTGATACCTTTTCCTATTAATTTCTTTTAATGTTCAGGATATAAGAAACCCTACCAAAGTAATAATTAACTCCTGTCTTATTTTTTGAAATGAGAGTTCAGGAAAATTTGTGAACTTTTCTTCTGAGCATGCTTTTTATGTTTTTTTTTCATTCCTGACCTTACATAATTCTTATAATATATTAA